GGCAATCTACACAACGGTACACAGTTCAAACCAAGAGTTAGAGACTTTAGGATTGGTGCCACTGCATAGATTGGTTGGCTAACGCTAGCCTTCTCTTAACCCTATCCTATTTTAGATAAAATGGTGCGTCAATGGAGGCAGTGTCTTGACATGCGTAACAAATGGTGACTGCATCATACACGAGGAATGCAACGAAGATAACTGTGTTCGAAAGCCTGCACACTCTTCACAGTTACTATCAACAGTTACGTCTAACCGTAAAATAAGTCAGAGTAGACCACTGCACAGTACACTTATGCTTTGATTTGTGGTCCGATATCTCGTCGGTCCATTGAGTGGCGTAAGTTGGTAGATGCCAAACAGACCTCTTGTATTTGAACCGAGACTTTTTCAACAATCGATTTATTCCGGATTATGAAAGTCCTCCGTGAATGTTAGGTAGTCAATGAACCCAACCATTTTACTTCCTATTCATAAACTAAATGTCGGTGCACACGAAGCATCACTTTACAATTGACAGGTGCAAAATGCATGCCAAACAAACTCTGAATTCTGCTCAATGCGTTCAGCAGATTCTGCATTTTCCCAGTGTCTTCGGCTAGCAGAACTGGAATCTGCGTAAACCAAGTCAATCAGCCTCTCTTCTGAGACTCATTCAATCCCCGCGAAATCGGAGGTACCAAGGGTTATATCCATAGCAAGTGTGACTGTGTCACTGTGTGACATTTCCAATAAACAGATTAAATTGGAATTACAATCCACCAGTGTCCAAGTTTTACTTCTATAAGAGTGGTGACAGCTGGTTTCCTTGACCGACATCGTCGACTGCTGTTACTTCAGATAGAAACATGTGAGACGAGAATTCTTCGCATTTCTAGAATCGTCACTGAAGACTTCAGGATTAAACATTGAGACCTAACAGTAAGTGCGACAAGTAATCGTACCTCCAGTCAGGTGAAAGCAAAACTATACTTAACTAACCAGTGAAGAACAGAAAGCTTTTAAGAAACTGAAGAATATAAAGAACGTCATCATAATTTAGGCTGACATAGGTCACAAGCCAGTAGTCATGGACAAAGACGACTACATCAAAAAGGTGGAAGACTTACTGATGGACTGAAAAGTATGTCAACCAATGAAGAAAAATACCATTCAAAAGTTTGATGGCCAAATCACCAAAACCTTGAAAAAAATTCCCAAAGTGGGGCAAATAACAAAGTAAGAGCAATGGCAAATGAAATCCATTAGACCTGTTCTCCTACGTTTCTATGGTAGGCCAAAAATACGCAAACCAAACATCCCAATACGACCAATTGTTCCACTTCCAGGAACACCAACATACAAACTTTCAAAGGAACTCTCTTCAAAAAACTGCAACATTTGGTAGAATCATGTGAGCACTCTATCAACTATTCGATACAATTATTAGAAAATATTAAGGATATTCATATTGACAACGATGAACTGATGGTGTTGAAGGACGTTTCAACGTTATAGCTCTATATACCTCAAATGAATAGAAACTGGCTAAGGATACAATGACTCTTTTTCTCACCAATAATACACACCACTGGGAACAGGCAAAACGGCAATGTTCAAGTTTGATGGAATTAACTGGTCTATGCCTTACAACATATTTTCAATTCAACAGCAAACTCTTCAGACAGACAGAGGGAACATTAATGGGATCAGGACTAATTACAGAAGCAGTAATGCAAAGGTCGAAAACTGTGGTGTTGTCGTTGATTAAACCAAAACTTTGGGTCCGGTGTGGAGATGACAAGTTCTTCATCATTAAAACAAACGACTTGAAAACGCTTACGAATTAATGAACATTTTCGACGACATCAAATTCGCAATTGAAGAGAAATAAAATAACAAAATTGCATTTTCAGATGTTTTGGTCACTAGAACGGAAACGGGGAAATTGGAAACTGAAGTATACAGAAGACTAACTCGTGCGGATCAAATCCACAACTACGATAGCAACAATCCAGAATCAGTTGCGTAAAAACACTGTTCAAAAGAGCGAAAACACACTATAGAACACCAAGTTTGGGGAGAAAAGAAGAAAACTATTTAATGACTGTTTTCCAGAAGAACGGCTATCCACACAACTTCATCAAAATAAGTAAACATAATTCGTCATCGACCAAGAAGCCAACCTCGAAAACCAACAAACGGATTGTCCTGCCCTACGTGAAGAACGTCTCCGACATCACGACTAAGTTAGTGAAGCCTTTTGGAATCAGTGTAGCCCAAAAACCCACAAAATCTCTTCACTTTCTGTTATGCAGGCCAAAAGAAGCAACAGCAAAGGAAGACAAACCAAACGTTATCTACAAAATAAACTGCAGAAACTGAGAAAAACACCACATTGGACACAATGGTCGCCCTTTTCGTATCCGTCAATATGAAAATCAACTAGCAGTGAGGCGTCATGACGTATCTTCTCAATATATACGGACAACTGTGCACTTAAATTTGACTGGGAAAATGTAGAAATCATGAATAGAGGAAATATAAACAAAGCCAGAGAATTTTTAGAAGCTTGATTTTCAGGTCAATCAGAGATCAAAAGGCATACTGACATTGACCCAATCTATCAACCAGTAAGAAACAATAATAAGGTCAAAGTTCACGTCAGCAGGACCACCAATAGAAATAAATATGGAGAAAATGACAAGATTTGGGAAGAAACAACTATTCATACACTAGGTCATCAGGACAAGCTACTAAGTCACCCAATAGCTTACTCCTTTCTGAAGTTTGTGTTGCTGAAGTTATCTACAATGAAAATGAAAGCTTCACGATTAAAACATGCAGCTCAGGGAACACAACATCATCAAAATTATCCCCCTGAGTTACAAATATACTTCATCATCTCAGATAACTCTCTGTTAGCCATAACAACAATGCCTAAGTCCAAGTAGAGACCCTAGATTAGCATTATCTATTTTCTCGGTACTCTGTTCACAGTCCCACAGCCATATCTCTCAGTAGATGAAACTGAATATCTAGTTATTCCATTTGAAAATTTTCAACCTTAATCCATAAAATACCCGGTGGTAGACCGTTCCAGAATTGAAACATAAATCTCAACTTCGGTGAGAATGGGAGGACAAAACTCTTAATTTCATTCTAGTTCTGACCAAATTTTGGGTAGGTAACGAGTGGCTGGAAGCAGTTGAACTTTTCTTTCAAGTGATCCACCTAACTTTATAGACACCCATCCTTAGAGATTATGGGAGATTTATGCTTCCTTTTCGCTTTATTAATAAACTTGGAAAATGGACGAGCATTAACTACGACCGATGATCTCTTCATCTGTTTCACCACCCAACATAGATTCTTAAAAATAGAGAAACACAGTAAGTGACTCTTCCACGAGCAATCAACGAAGACTGGAAAAATTAATAAATTTCTTCTAAATTACTCTGAACTCTGATGTTTATCGAAACACTGGCGTGAATAAGAATTTTTCTTCTATTAAATATACAACTTTCGAAGTGTTTCACTCAAAAGAACATAGCTTTTCTGTATACAAATAAGAGTGAATATAAAGTTGTGAGTTGAGTTGAGAATTAGGATCGAAGATTTGTTGAATGCATCCTGGTTATCATTGGTTCTCTAGCTGACAACAATTATTGATAAAAATTATATATATATATATATATATATATATATATATATATATATATATATATATATATATATATATGTCCAATTCACATTCTACAGTCTAAAAGTTAAACGGCCCAACTACTGTAGTCACTGAAGCAGTAGTTGCATTTCCGTCGATCTTCGGATACTCTGTTAAAGGTTTTGACGGCACGTTTATGTATTTGAAATCTTCGGTCCGATCACATTTTGTATCAAGGTCATAACCTAGCAATACCACAGTCGAACATTTTCATAAAGCAGCAAAGTGAGCAGAAACCCTCGCTTTTGATCCAAAGACTAATAAAGGTGGTGAGCGGTTTATGAACAGTGTAAATTTTCGTCCATACCTTGTAGAAATATCTGATGATAAGTACTAAAATCAATGTTTTTTATAGATTTGAAACCTGAGTTTTTCGGTCGATGTTATTGAGCGTGATGAATGAATACAGCTTCTTGAGTTCCGTCAGGGGATTCATACAAACGGACAGAACCGACATCACAGGCACCAGGTGTAAATGAAATTAGTAACTGTGGGACTACACGTGAAACCAGATTAAAATAGAGTATGTGACTATGAAAAATGTATACAGCTTCAAATTCATTCAATAACGCTCGAAAGGTGTCATTTGCGAAGACGAGTCAGTGGCGCTCCAGGTTCACGTAGTGAGGGTACGGAAGTAGAATAATAGTGAAAGAAGCAAGAAGACAGGTGTGAAGGAACGAATGTTTATTGTCAACAAGTGGGACAGTAGTCGTTAAATATAGTACACCCTGAAACTAAGACCGTCATTTGCAAAATGTGCTTCATTTCCCCTTCTACTTCTTTCTTGATTTGCTCTTCGTACGCCTGCCTTGTCTCTTGCGTTTCTCTTGGCGGAATCCTTACCCATTCCTGGTAATTCCCTATGATTTCTGCCACCCTCTCAACATATACTACTTATATCCATTCTTATCAGTAACACCCACTACAATAGGTGTTAAGTTTAAGGAAGAAATGAAGCATATGTTAGTCATAATGCAGGCGTTTCCTCCAAGGTAGTTATGTTTCCAGGATCTGATACGTGGCCAGAAGAATCGAAAATCAAACTCAGATATATAACGAATTGCATGGAAAGTGGCATTTTCCTGGTCTCATGAGGAACTTATTTTCTTGTGCAAACTATAAAACTATGTTCCAGACCGACAAAAGCAATCACGTTTTCCTGAAAGGTGTTAGGAAGCCTCAATATTTGTTCTCACAACATGCAAACTGGTGATTGTGAACACATAATCATCAAACTCAAGCATATGAACGCTGTACACAAACAAAACAAAACGATAGAAAAATCAAAACTAACTTTGTTAAATAACCTCTTAATCCTTCATCTAAATTTGCACTGCTTAGAATTAAAAGACCTGTGGGTAAATTGCGTTGCCATGGCATCAACTGAGCTAAGAGATACGCTGCAACCATACGACTTCGAGCTTGTATATTCTGAAGAGCTAAACTTTCTCTACTTGAACCACCGTTCGTAGTGTATTGAGGTGGTTGGGAGAGATTCAGGGTATCAGAGGCCATTTGAATGAACTGTTTTACCACTGGAGTCATATCAGACTGGAAAAAATTCAGTGGTATAAAAGAAATATGAATAATGGCTATGGCTTGCTCTGGCAATGGTAAAAGTATTCTGAAGGTTAATGAAAAGCAGAGTAATGGAAAATAGACTTTATGCTGATTTATTTCTAAAAATCGAACACCAAATAAACGGTAACTTTGCATCATTGTTAATGGCAAGAAAGCTCGACATATTTTTCAGTTTGAATCAAGTATTTGAATTATTAATATGTTTGGTTACGTAAAGTTGAACTCTTTCACCATCATCCCCTAGGAGAAAATTCCGTCAGGGAGTTATGCTTTTTCGTTTCTGCAGTCGATCAATTCTAAGCGTAAAAAAGAAAGTTTCAATTTCTTTTCATTATGTGTACTTGTCATCGGAGCAACACCTACTAAGCACTATAAATCACATTTTTAGTCGGACAGCACAGCATTATCTATTATGATTGAGTAAAGGCTGGATGGAAACAATGAAAAGTCTCAAAGCTATGCATAGTCGAGTTGACAGAAGTATAGCTTACATAGTCATTTATCGCATACTGCGTGATTTTCCCCAATGTTTATGTATTTATAAACTATGTGCTGTGGAAGTCATTGTTACCCATCTTCCCCAACCGATTTCATATGACCAGGATGAATTTGTGCCACCTACTCTCGTCACTCAGACGACCGATACAGTTCAACATCACACACACACACACATATACACAACTCTTACATCCTGTGCAAGTGACTTTTCTAAACTCTTTACTTTTCTTGTCAGTTATTTTACACATTGTCATATATTGATCCATGTATCTAACCAACCCTACAGGATGTCAGTCATGGCCCAAATAGATCAGTGGCAATGTATTTGACTGCAGCACTGGGTGACGCGGGTTCGAATCTAAGGCGATACATTAGTTCTATCGAGGTTGCAGATATGCCCTGTTGACGAGTACCAACAAGCACGAAGCTCACATAGAACAGGGATTCCTGCTGATTGCCTCTATCCAACTAACATCTATCTCAGTGCATCGCGATGGAGGGTCACCTAGCCTGGTGGCCACATTACAAAAATGATCGCTAGAGTTCGGTCAGGACTTGGAACCAGAAAAAATGAAGCTGGTTACGCTCCACTGACCAATCCGTGTACTGATCCATTTTATTTTATATGAATGGTCTTGAACACTGTGCAACTGCCCTCAACCAACTAATATCTGAAACTTCGATATCTGTAATTAAGGAACATGCACAGAAATCGTAGTGAGCTCAGCGACCACATGCGTTTTTGTGCAGTAGGTAATGGGCCACACTAATTATGCGAAGGCGAATGACACTAGCTGGCTGGCCAGATCTCAGTAGGCAGAGCCTTGTTCGAATCAAAGACCCATTGATTCATAAACACCAACAGTAGCTTGAAATTGAGAGAAGAAATATTCCTTTATTTAAGTATCTAAATAGGAACTTTCAATGTACTAATTCAGCGTTAATCAACTGATCACTATCCGCACTAATAGAGTGATATTATGGCATTAATTGCAGAACTTATAAATAAATGGAGAAGAGACCATTAGAAAAGATTCAATTTTTTCACGTAATCTGTCTTGTTCTATCTTACTGTTCTCTATAACTTATTTCCAATATATTTAATAGATAACTAGAGAATTGAATAAAGAAATGCAAGGTATCAGAACAAAAGGATGTACAAAGTGATTATTCTATAAATAACTAACCTAGGGTGAAGTTTCATCCTTTTAGAAAAACTATGAACTTATATGATCCCAATGATTTTCACCTATTGATCTGATGATTTACGTTTTTAAATTTGCACATGAACTTGTGTCTTTATTCAGTGAAAATTGATCTAACTAAATTATTGTGGGATTCAGAAAATTAATTAGTTTTCGTTGGTAACCTTGAAAAAGCAAAGAAAAGTGGAGTTGCGAAATAAAATGAATAAATATATTTTGTTTCAGGTAGGTACTTATCATGGACTTACATTAACTGGAGAAACATTGGGGGCCTGAGAGCACTGGACAGCTGTATCGTCCTAGTACGGGACGCCTCAGCAGTGAATATGCATGACCCTGCTAGGGATTAAACTTAGGATCTTTAGGTTCCGCGATTAGCACAGTTCCATCGAGCCACTGGGTGACATTTTAATGTTCCATAGTTCCTACTTTATTTCAAGTTAGCTGTCATTGGTTTTGGCTAGGATTCATGATTTTCTTTTTTTGTATTTCCACGAAACACATAGAATTCCTGTTATCTTCAAACCATGAACTTTTAACCGTTTTCATAGAACTATTACTGCTAATAATTCATATTTGCCGTTGAAGAAAAGTTGTGGAATGAATTCATTTTATTTCTTAAACCTACCTCTTTGTTTCACTTAAGTGTAAAGGTAGGTTTTAAAATAGCCTATCAATTTATCTCACTGTAGACACATACTAACCACTAAACGTTACAAAAAAAATGAAAAATTCCTTTACTTTAAAAGCTATGACTCGTTTACTCTAAAGTTAAAACTTCTAACCCTTCAGTCATGAGTTCGACCTATAGAGGTATAAGCAACCAAACAGTGTTCTATGCCTAAGTATCAGACGGTGGGAGTCAATTGGCAGGAAGTTCTGGACATAAATTTCATACTTTTTGGCACTTATAAGCAAGGTGTATCTGCAACCAAGAAGAAACTGGTGCTCTCTCAATGATTCAAACCTGTGTGTTGTATGCCGTCACAAAGTTCGTATGAATTACAAATTATAACATACATGTGTATTTATAATTACTGAGTTGCAAAATTCTCATTCCCTTTTTACGCAGTATGTTTCTGATGACTGTTTTACAATGTATAGTTTCTGCCATGGGACAAATATTGTTAAACTCTTTATTTTCAAATGACATCATTTAAAACAACTGGTTTGACAAATTCTTGAACATATGAAAGTCATTACACTAAAACAAATTACGGTTCAAAAAAGTTAAAAGTGATACATAATTAAGCTTACTTCTAAGTGATTTGAAGCTATTGCTTCAGCGAGACGACGAGCTTGTGATTTTGTACATGCAGAACTATTCTCAGTTGACAAATAACATGTTGTCAATAGACGACCGCATAATTCATGAGCGTTGTGAGGAATATACTCATGCGATTCGTTCAATATAGTACGACAATCTCGTAGGACAGATAGATTACCTTTACTGATAGCTTGAACAATCTAATAAATGTATTGAAGGGAAAACAAGTAATTACCGAAATTTTAATTAACATCCATCTATGTTCTAAGATGTGGTGATAACAAAACATCTCTCAAATGAATCCAATGTTGAAATTCAAATATATTTAAGTGGCTTATTTGATAGATGATACATAAAAATAAACTTAGCAGTGATCTCTACGCCAACAGAATAGCATTTGATGACTTCTATGTCAAAAGAGTAGATGAAGAGTGCTAGTATCAAAATATGTATATCTTTATATCAAGAAAGAAATCCCACCTGAAAATACTGTTTCTATTCGGATTAAATGGAATTAAAAATCCTCATTCATCTCAAAAATACATTACTGTATAGTGCTCATTAGTGACTTGCTTACAGATGGATATCATGAAGCTCTAATGAGAAGCCGTGACCTGTGGGGTCAATCAGTCGTAAGTGAAGCGGATGCTAACTGAAGACCTTGAGTGATAGTTACACTATGTCGTGAATTGACAGAAGTTGGAAATTGTGAACCACTGGAAACCGACCCGGTGGCTGAATGGTTAGCGGGTTCGCCGTGAAACCTGGGGGTCCCGAGTTCGATCCCCAGTCAGGTCGTGGGTGAGTACTGCTGAGGAGTCCCACATTAGGGTGAGACATCTGTCCAGTGCTCCCAGATTCTCAGTAGTTCCCCAACTGATGTCAGCCCATGATGAATATTACTTCTAAATAGTGAAATAATTCACGTATATCAAGAAAGCCTGACCTATGATGTTGGAATGGAGATTTGAGGTCGGAGACTATCTTTTCTTTGAATTATATTGTAAAGTATGTTTAGAGTGCATTATTTTTTCGAAGGGTCTATTTATATAACATTTTATCTCAAAGTAGTGAAGCTGTGGTGCATCATTTTAGACACTGGATCTCCAGTTATCGAGCCACAGTTTCGAACTTCGCCCCGCCTATCGATGTTTGAACAACTAGGTGGTATCATCAACCATCATGCAACAAATAGAGGTTATTGACTATTGCATGAACGTTCAGATGGTTGATGAGTACATTTCGTTTTTTTTATTTGTTCTTTTTCCCAGTGTTTCCATAAACTTGGAAAAAATGATATAAAATTGTGCACGATTAATGGTCGACGCACAAGCATGTCAATAGAGTAACACATTGAACACTTTTAAAACTAACCTGATGACAAAGACTAAAAACAATGCATGCAACTGCAGCACTATCCAAGCCACCACTTAAGCAAAGAAAGTATCCTGAAGACTTGCTTCGGCGTAAATTATCCCATAGCCATAAGGCAGGACCACAAGATATCTCTTCTCCAGGTGAAAGAATGTGACTATCAATATACGACTGTAAGGACTGATCAAACCAGTAATCACTATGACAAAGATCGAAATTAACCTACAGATAAAAAATGATCTGAATGTATGTAAAGACAATCATATGCATATATGTGTTTACAAAAGGCGATGAGTGACAAATTAATTATGCGAAGAGTCCCTACTGCAGGTTGAAATGGACTAGGAGTGCGTAATATTTAGTGTTAACAGACTTTGCATTCACTAATATTTGCTAATTCTTATATCGGCCCTAAGCGTACTATATGGTAAATGAATTAAGATCCTTTATGTACTATGTTGTTAAATTATTAGAAATGTCGCATTTTTCTAGGCACTGTAACCAGTCATTGAGTCAAATATCCAAGAAAAAGGCCGAGAAAGAAAGAAACGTACCCATAAATCACATTTTTATACCATAAACCGTTAGTTATCGCAAAAATAAGGTTCATTTCTTACTCTTTAATTACTACGGAAATATGTGCTGCTTGTCAAATTTAGTTTACTCCACTATCTGCGAGGAACTAAACTATAACACTGAAACTCCAGAAAAACTAGATTTTCGTACTTCTCTGGAGTTTGCATTGTAAATCTCAGGACTAAACAATGAGCAAAAACACTAATCACACTAATCAGTTCTACCTTCAGAAAAAATCAAGAGAAATCAGTATCTACCAAACACAAAAGCCAAAAGTGCAATACAGTCGCTAATGACTGACAAAACAATTGTATACTGCCACCTGATAACAGAACAAAGCAGACTATTTCGAAAAAGTAAAAGAATTAGCTAATGATGAAAGTGTTTACCAACTACTAGACCCACTACATAAGTAGGTTCAAAGAAAACTGAGGAGTTTAGTAAAACCTGAGGGAGAAGACAGAGGTGATGAAGATACCCAACCAACAACAGCATCAACAACAACAAGCACCAATCACCGCCAGCGGGAGAAACCTAAAGGAAGTTGTCTCTTTCACCTACCTACCACATACCTAGACAAGGCAGCATCGTTTCAACTACAGGCGGCGGTGGCACACATGAGGACGTCAAAGCCAGGATGGGAAAAGCAAGCAAGCAACACACGCCTTCATTAACCTGAAATCACTGCACTACACTCAGCACAAAGAACAAGATCAGGATTTTCAACACCAATGTCAAGTCACTACTTCTATATATGGCTCAGAAACTTGGCGCATCACGAAAAGGACTTCCAACAAACTACAGACATTCATCAACAGCTGCCACCTACACTCACTCGATACTGAACATCAGATGAGATGGCCAGAATAATAAGAATGAGCAACAAGGAACTATGGCCTGACTGGCAACGAAACAACCAACAACCTATCACCCAACAAATATGCAGAAGGAAGTGGAGATGGACTGAATAGATTGGGCATACACTGAGCAGATCATTCGGAGACATCACGTGCCAGACCAGGCCATTGAGTGGAATCTAAAGGGGAAACGATGAGTTGGGCGTCCGAGGCGAGGGTGACATGGAGGCCCTATGTTCCACTAGTAACCCCAAAGGACAAATAATAATGGTAATAATAATAATAATATGCATATCTGAAGCATTAGCTGAGCATGAGAAAAAGCACCCAAAGGCGTTTTATGAAACCCATTTCGCTACCTTGGCCTTACCAATTTATTTCGAATAGTTTGTCAATTTAGTTTCACTTCACTTTGTATACTTCCGTTTAATTGTTATTATCATTATCTTACACTTCTTTGGCAGCACTTGGCTTTTATTTCACCACTTAAAATCAATTCCTTTCTTACTTAGTGACTCATTTTTTATTTCTTCACCTTGAAAAAATACCAGTTACTTCCTAGCGAAGATTCTCTGCCAGCGTGGCCGAGCTAAATGTAAAGTCAAAGAGGTGGTCATGATAAAAAAATCCCCTAACTTACAACTGGACAACACTCAAGGTCAGAGAAAAAGCTACTTAAACATCAGTGTGACATTTGAATAAGCTTCACTTCCTTATGAATTTAGTATTGAGGATGTCATTAAGGCGGGTGGTGAAACGCCTATCACAAAATATCATGTGGTAAGAAAGTTGTTTTGAGGTCAATCCTATGACCTGTTTCAACAACGATATATTTACCTATTTGTCCTCTGTATTCATCGGACTGTTTGAATGTCATTGCTTTTCCAACCATTTGTGGACACCCTTTACTACTCCTGACTTCGCAGTTGGATTACTCCTCCCAATGTATGTCTCTACACACACTTGTGGCAACTCGGACTGTTACGCAGTAATGCCTGGTCTTGTGTTGATACTGATTGATTGGTTGACACACATTTTAATTGGCACACGAAACGTGTGATGCAATCGTTGTTGTGACGATGAAGCTTCTGTTGGAGCATGGATTTTGTTTTCGACAGAATAATAAGTTTGGTCGCATAGTGTTTTTTTCCTATACAACTGAATTAAATCTTCGTCTTAAAATCACAGTTTGATTCCCTTCTAAATAAATACGGTAGCGTGACGCCCACGTCTTTTGTAGCGACAGAATATTGAGTAAATTGCAATGTTGACAAATAATTGTACGGTCAGATTGTTCGAAACGTATTGCGTTAATGCATCACATTTCTCAGCTGAATTTCCTTTTGTTATTAAGCCATACAAACCTTTATTCGTTCACTCAGTCGTATTTCACTTTGCATAAACTTTCAGTCGGATAAAATTATGGGGAAGATATTTCTTCACCTTACACAACTTTTTTGAATCTATAAACAAGCATGAGATTCCAAACAGTTAAAAAATGTAAATGACTAAAGTTACGTTGAAAAGAGTAAGACCTTACCTTAATTACTGGATATTCACTGCGCGCAATACCTAAAGCATCAACTTTCGCGGCAGAATTTGCTGCAGCTGCACGTCCAAAACAGCGACTGGCAATTCGCTTGGACCGTAATGAATTAAGACAAACGGTAACAGTGTCAACCGATACGTCACCAAATCCAAATTGTTGGCTCATACAAATCAGCTGACCAGAAACAGCAGCCAAAGCACATCCATCGTAACATGCTCTTCCTGAGTCACAGCCTCTAAGATTTGTATATGCATAAAGTCCACCACCGTTTGCTCTACTTGCAGATTTGATAAGCTCTATTCTTCTGCTTAGTTTTCTTAGTTCATGGTGACTGGCACTAGCGTTTAGAACAGCATCCACACCAGCTGCATACATGCGGATATGGGGTGGAGTTCCTGTCCACAGTTCTTCACATGTTTCCAAGCCAATCTGAACATTCTCTGAGTAACCATCTCCAGTAAATCGGAAGATAGCGTCACCGAAAACTGTAACTGATTGCGCGTCTCTAGTTACTCGACGAACAACATCGGGCAACTCAAACTCAACTATGCATTGATGATGTGGCCAAGGGTGAACCAACGAGATTCTCTGTGCAAACCTTCATCAGCAAGTACTAATTTTGGTCGTATCAGTAAAACATTTCCATTCAATAACACAATTCTACAGTTATAAGCTACACCTCCATGTAAAACGGGCATCCCAATATCACATACAATATCTTGCATTTCAGGGTTCACATTTGTCTCTGCTAAAATCTTCGCAATACACTGCCATGAATGAGTATATGTATCCAACTCATGAAAATGATCTTCACATCCATAACTTGAGATTTCTAGTTCCGGACCGACTCTGTATTTAGCTTGCAGCCGTTTGGAAGTTTTAATACTTTCGATAATTCGTTCAGTATTTCCAGTAAAGTCAAGTGCCCACTGATTTAACACACAGAGAGCTACAGTAAATTTGCTTGAGGAGATAGGATAGGAATGTGCAATGTCGGTGGACATTATTCTTGAAGATCAAATCTGCTGAATTTCAAATGACGTATGCTACAACTTTGGAAATGAAAGAAGTAAGACAACAAAAGTTGTTACAAAAACGAATGGTTGCTGGATTAACGCGTTTCCTGGGAGTTGAGTTTATTAGCCAATAAACCATATTTCCACCTATGACTGCTAGATGACCCTAATACAGTAGTAGTGAATATGCAATTGAACCGTCAGAATCCAAAAACAATAAAAGCAATTTAACAGTGAAGTACAACTTCATATACCAGGCAACGAACCACGTTAACTACATGAAGACTGTGATACTACTTGGCTACATGAAACTTAGTGGGCAGATCAGGGTTCAAACCTATGAACCGCCAGCTAAAAGTCAAGAACAAAAATAGAGCGTATGTTACTAGACCACACTGGTAAGGATAGTAATTCAAAACTAGTTTGCAAACACAATCTGACCACAGGATAGAAAAAGTCAGGTGGTAAATTTGGCTGACTAACTTGGTCACTCGCAACACTTTTGACATAATGTTCGTCGAAAAAACCTTAGCAGATCTAGAATATATAGATGGGGCGGGACAAAACGCACTCAACCACCCTGTGTACATGCATACAGTGGGCAACGAGCCACACCTATTGCATGAGGGTTAGTGATACTACCTGTCTTCCCAAATCTCGGTAGGAAGGACGGGGTTCGAACTCGTGACCCACAAGGTGTCAGTCATCTCCCTAAACCATTCAGCTACAGCTTCACACAATATGTAGATGACATGGTTCTGATGGCCACAAACACTGACAAGCTACTGAGTCTGAGTGACAACTCGAAAATGCATACGATGTGTTTCTTACCACTCGAATGTAGGTGACTGATTGGTTTAAGTACTAAACTCAAACTGCTAGGCAATGGGTGCCGGATTCAAATTCATTCCACCCACTTTAACCTGGGCAAACGAGTGGTATCATACTCCCTAGCATAAGAGGTATCGCTTATAGCCTAGTGCGAAAACATGCAGTGGGTTGAATTCTATTAATTAGAAAACCAAACGTGAATGAGAATGGTTGATTAAAAACTTCTCTGCGTTGGCACCTCAGATGACAATAACAGAGAGACAAAATCAGCCTAGGACCTAACACAAACGTGTGTGGGTTCAAGTTGCCACCCTCCGCTGCAAGAAGCAAAGAAAAACCATATCACTAAGAGTCTCAAATCACTGATTCCTATAATCTCGAGAACTCCAACTAGGCAGTCTACTTTTCCCTTCGTACTCGTCCTTAGGTACGTAGTCGGGCATCTCGCCAATCGACACCACAGATGACCCAAGTCAGAAAATGACAAACGAGCCTTTTGTATCAGCGCTGAGATTTTGTCAGCAACCAGCCCATTCGGGCTGATGCGAATCCCTGAGTAAGTGAAGTGGACAACACATTCCACCAATTTACTCCCTATCTTTAAACTAAGGGCAGTTGCAGACCAGTCCTGGAGCATCATCTCACATTTGACAGGTGCAAAACGCATGTCAGCCGAACGTAATCACATTTCTGCTTAACGCGTTCGCAAGACCCTGAATTGTGTCAGCGTCTTCACCCAGCAGGACATAACGTTTGCATACTCTAAGTCGACCAGATGACATTCGGGAGTAGGTCAATCTCTGTGAAGTTCATTAGTACATACACAACGAAGTTGAACAGAAACAGTAAAAGTGGGCATCATTGTCGGACACCACTAGTTGTCATCAATTCAGATGACAACTCCATAAGCCTTTATATGGCTGCGTGAGCTCGAGTAGAGAGCTTTGATGAGTGTTATATACTCGCTTGGTACCTCTTTCACAGTCAAACTGCCACAACACAACAGTCAACAGTGTCAAATGCTGCTTTCAGGTCAGCAAATATGGCAAGTGTCAGATGGCAGTAACTATGCCTATGTTCCATAACCTGATTTAGGGTGGAGATTTGATCGATGCACCCTCGGGCAGATTTGAAAATTATCTGGTTCCCTGTAGTTCGTTGTTCCACTTAGGTGATAGATGACAACGGACCCAAGGATACTAGACGCGATGTTAGTTATACTGATTTCCTCGTGGTTGTCATAAGAAGACTTATCTACCTTCTTGCAGATTAGAACGATTAGTGAAGTAGACCAGTCTAACGGCACTACCACTGATTTCCATGCATTATTTAGCAACTCCATTACTCTAGTCAGCAGTTTCTTACTTCTATCCTAAAAAAAAATTAGGTGGCAAACTGCCAGGTTTTGCTTCTTTGCATCGCTTCAAGTTTCAAACAGCCCCCCTCCCAACTTTAACGAGAGTTGAAGGACTGATATATACGCCCTCGTTAGGTCCAGACTAGATGCTGGGCAACCGAAGAGTTGCAGTAGGCCAGTTAGAATGCGTTCCAAAGTGCTGCACCCGATGTTTAAGTCGTCTGTTTTGAAAGGTTATCAGCATTCCATCCTTTTGGTGGTCTCACTAACCATCGCTCTTCCTTGCCATTGTCCCTAATAAATCTAAATAATTGCTGAGTGCTATTAAATCCTCATATCTTCTCCACCTCTTTTGCCTTTCCCACCCATCACCGCTCACGATCGTTGCAAAGACATGCAGTCAGTTTACATTTGAGCTGCATTCGCTCTTTATTGTAGTCAGAACCCGCTGGAATGAGTCTTTGCATTAACCAGTTCGGATGAAGTTGCCCAAGTCCAATGAAGCTTGCGAACCTTTGGGTGTAGGTTACCGACTGTCTTTACCGCTGTTTCCATAGCAGGCTGGATGCTACACCAAGCTTCATCAGGTAGAAAATTGCTGCAATGTCCAGTTAAATGCTTTGTTATCTAACGAAATGCGTACATGACGTTTTCATCTTCCAGTCGAGCACAGACACACTTCAGTAACTCCTGTTTCCTGCGACCAGTAACGTGCAGGTATACACGTGCCTGTACTAGCATGTGATCGGAGTCCAAACAGGTACTTCAGCGAGAGCGGCAATCCCCCAACGATAGCTTACACCAATATGACCGATATGAGTTCATCATTGGCTTGATGTTGGCGGACGCCGTGTGAGACCGTCTGATCTGTCTGTCTGTCTGATCTCACCTGGTCAAAGAAGTGGGTCTTCGAAATTCACCTTAGGAGTATCCGGAGACCCAATGACTAGCATGGAGCTGTAAAGCAGAAAGTGTGCTTCTCGACTGGATACCGGTCAGCAACTACTTGTGTGCTGTTAGACTGGATGGATTTGTAGAGACTAAGAAAGATCAAGAGACTATTCGATGCCTATTTGTGATTCCTGTCTACGCATTCACGGACTTCATTTCAGATGATGCAAAGGATGAATTTTACGAAAAGCTGTCAATTCCGCTGCAGAAAGCAAAATGTTTAGATGTAGTCATAATGGCAGGTGACTGACGTTAACGTTCAAGCAATAACAACCAGTGGTGTCTGCCAAGGATACCCTATGCCACGATTAGTGATCAACTGTTACAGACGTGAGAACGGACATAACTCTAGGTACTTCCAACTCTACAGGGGTTGACTCACTCCCAGGAGGGCACTTGGATGACATACTTCTTTTAAGCAAACACGTGCACAAAATACAGTCTTCTGAAGGCATCGAGCAGAAACTGGTGTTTGACGTGGGTGCCACACCTGTCAAATGTAAGATGGTGCTTTACGACTGGCCTGCAGCTAGTGCTACTTTAAAAATAGAGAGGGGAATGGCTGAATCCACTGACCACTTCACTTACTTGGAGAAGTGCACCAGCCCGAAACGGGTTGGTTGATGATGAAATCTCAGCTTGGGTTCAAAAGGCTTGTTTGGTAACTATAGGAAGCGGCCTCAATAGAACTCAACATTTTAAGTTTTTATGTATACCACATTACTTCCTTGTGAAGTGTGACAACTTGGATCGATTTACTTCGAGTGAGCTGGCAGGTACTTTGGATGTACTCTGGTAGCATTCTGAGAAGTATTTTTGGGTGTACTTGAGGACATATATCTACATCCCTAAAAACCCAAAATTACTTCCTGAAGATTGCAGAAGTTCAGAAGTCCACTCAAAACTCCCAGTCGAATTTTCTAAGCATCAGAAAAGTGCTAAAGTGCATACAATGTGTCCCAAGTTTTCAAAAGCATAAAATAGGGACTTAAAGACTACAGTTTATTCGTGACTGATTTTGGTCCAGCGATGCAAAATCATAGACTAAGTAATTTTCAACAGGTTAATAGCTTCCAACAAGAGAAAAACTTCAGAAACGAAAATAAATTGAGGGGTCTTTCCAAAATGTGGGAACAGCACACAGTGAATCTTCCAGTAAATACCCAACAAGCTCAAAGGGTGCCTGAAGTGTTTGACGGCTTGCCCATAACACTATTTCCTGCGAAAACGTTAGATTGGAGTGAGTTTGCTACATCACTCTGTTGCCCATGACATTTGGATGACTAATGGGATTCAAAATAAGTCTACCACATTTATGAACACGTATGTGTTCGCACTTAAAAACTATATGGATTCTAAACTAACAGAAATGAGGAAATAAAGGGTATGAATAGGCAAATAATGGGGCAATCCATTATGACGGATACTGCGACTAATACCAATACCAACCTATCAAGTAGGTGTAATATATTTGATATTCTGTAAGCTTTAATAGGTATTACCAACACTTCAGACCAGCAAATAACCACATTAACTTCACTAAGTCAACATATTTCCAATATATGGAAAAAAAACACTGGATTACTGAAGATAATGTGATTACTTGCGTACTGGAAGTGTTAGCACTATGTATTGAAGCTTAAAAACTGTTGGTTTTAAACCTACTTGATGAATCCAAGCCTCCTTATGGTTTAAGTCACAGTATCCATTATAATGGATTGCCCCATTCATCCATTCTATATACCTATTTCTGCTAGTTTGGGATATATGAATGAAGTGAATCATCTTGAAAAGCCATTAACAATCACAATAAAAAACCTTGAGTAACATGGGGTTTACATAAAGAGTT